TCTAAAACTTTAGACCTCTTAGAAAACCCACAATGCGATTGTCACATCTCTAAAAATAGTAATGATGTTTCTCACTATCATTAAATAGTCTCAGTTGGGCTTAAACTTTCCTAATTGCTCAATTTTTTAAAAACTGTTCGAATAAGGCCCCAAATAAGCTCTATATTTTGTCAGATGAGTGAAATTAAAACATTTTTTTTCTTTTGAGATGGGATAGGGTCCTGCTGTGTAGTCCAGGTTGTTGTCAAACTGTTACCTTCCTTCCTGCCCCAGGCTCCTGAGTTCTGGAGTTCCAGCCATGTGGCACCATGATTATATTGTGTTTTTTTAAGGCAGGATCTCCCTGTAACCTCAGCTCACCTGGGACCTGCTATGCAGACCAGGCTGGCCTTGATATGCCAGAGATTCACGTGCCTCCTGAGTGCTGGGATTAAAGGTGAACACTCCCATGGGGCTGGAGAGATGGCTCAGTGGTTAAGAACACTGGATGTTCTTGCAGAAGACCTGTGTTTGAATCCCAGTACCCACATGGCAGCGAACAACTGTCTGTAACTCCAGTCCCAGGGGATCCAACAGCCTCTTCTGACCTCTGTGGCATTGCATGACATGGGTGCACTTACCTACATGCAGGCAATACACACATACACATAAAATAATAATAATAAAATAAAAAAGGTGAACTATCCCACACCTGGCAATTCCAACCATTTTAAAGTATGCAAGAGATACCAATTATATCCACAATGTTGTGTTAGAAACAGTGCTGTTTCAAAAACATTACGTCTGAATGATTTGAATCTTACGACTCTCTTAATCTACCTGTTTTCTCCTTCTGTTTCTGTTTCTCCCTGCAATCTGACCACTGAAATTGGGTCATTTCTGTTCTACAGTTTCCTGTGACCTTGATTTTTCTATTTATAGCTGTGATAACGTTTAACATATTCCCCGTATTTCCTGGGATTTTTTGTGTTTTGTTTTCTTACACTTTCAGCAGTAAGGACATAATGTCTAGATGTTTCTATTTTGATGATGTCAGTGACACAGATGATCATTGCTTGGTTCTTCGTATTTCAGGCATATAACAAAGTGTTAGCCCAACTCCATTATTTCTTTTCAGTAGCTGTAATGTTTCCACAGAGGAAACAGTAATGAATCATGGGAATCAATCCATCCTGCAGAGAATATTTCATAAGTCCTAAATATCCCACTTATCAAGTAACTTTACTGTGATTGGCTTTGAAACACAAAACACATTCTCTTATAGAGAATAGAAAATGCTCAAGACAAGTTTGAGGAAGAGTTAAAAACTATTTTAGGGCTGGCAAGATGGTTCAGCGGCTAATGGCACTTGCTGCCTGATTGACCCACATGACAGTAGGAAGATAGCTAACTTCTACAAGTTGTCCTCAGACCTCCACTCATACACTGTGGCGCGCGCGCGCGCACACACACACACACACACACACACACACACACACACACACATGCACTCACGCACGCACGCATGCACGTACTCATGCACACAGGTCAAAAATGAAACAAGAATCTGTTTCTATATGATAATGTGAGCAAAATTTTCACCCTTCAAAATCATCCTAGTTAGTGAAGTAGTAACCTTTTTGTTAACCAGGAATCTCTAATCCAGAAATAAAGTAGTGTAATATAGACAAGTTCATTCTCCTCTTCTGAAAAAGAGTCTTCAGAGCTGGGGAGAGCCTCTGCTACTGTCGTCTGGTTCCTTTTTTAAAATGTGTGGATCTAAAATTAAATACAGTGCTTTTCGTGGTGATAGTCTGTGGCAGGCTAGCACAGCAGAGCACTTTCCTCAGACTTGACACATCTGTTCAAGTCAGTCAATCCCCAACTCAATGCATTCTTTTAGCAGGAATAAGAAATTTAAAAACTATGCTATAGAATGAATCATGTGATCTCTTTACCACATTAAAAGCATCAATTAAGCTTCAGTTTTTACTTCTTACCAGAGCATCTACAAACTTATAATTGATGTTTTATGGACCTTCTGAAGTCTCACCTGAGTATCCAGCCACTCTTCCTAGCAACTAGTCCAGCCTTGGATGACAAAAAAAACACGAGGAAGAACCCAGCAGAGGGATGCTTTTGGAAGCCCTTGTCAAGAAACTCCAATGGACTCTCATGAACATTTGATAACTGCCGTTCTGACTTTTTTCTAGTCCCCTGTAATGCTAATTACTCTTGCCTTTACTTCTCCTTCACATCTCCTATTCATGATTCAAGAACTTTCTTTTCCCGTTAGAGACAAGAGTTATGCAATTTGGGAGTCTTTTAGATAGACCCACTGA